AAGCAAGAGCTGTCGGTTGTTGGGTGCAGATTCCAGGGGGTGAATCGTTACTTTGCATCTCGACCTGCTTGCGCGCTTCCGAGGGGCTCTCCGCAGAGAACCTCAAGATTTTGGCCGCGATAGGAGCTGTGGCGCAGAGCTACCGCAAGCCTCACATCATCGGAGGCGACTTCAACATGGAGCCAGCAGAGTTACATGAATGTGACTTGGCAGGCAGTTTATCCAGTTGCATAGTGTACCCAGAAGTGAAGGGTACGTGTGCGACTACGGCTTCGAGCACTGTCAGGCTTTTAGACTACATGGTGGTCTCGGGAGGCCTGTCGAAAGGAATCCAATCCACCAGGGTGATTTTGGAGAGCGATCTGAAGACTCACACGCCCGTCCAAAATAAGTTCTACCCCACCCTCGCGGACATTAAGTTCCCCACGTTCTACAAGCCTCCAGTGATACCCGCACAGTGCCCTATAGGTCCTTGCCCAGAGCCCCCGTCTTGGGACGACGCCCTGGATTGCGCCACGTGCGGGCTCTCACTGGTTCGTGAAGGAGCCCCGCGTAAGAAGATTCAGAGGCGCATGAATTTGGCGTGCAAGATTTGGGCCAACACAGCAGAAAAAGAGTTGATTGCCAGTCGACATATCGACATCCCGATGTTAGGTACGAGGTGCAGGTTGCCTAAGTTGTTGTGGAGGTCAGCCCTGGAAGTAGACAAGAAGAAAGACGTCAGGCAACCTGCCCTGTTCACGCTGCGCTGGTTGGAGAGCACGTTCCGTCTTTTTATCAGCCTGCTGCGCGCCCTGGACGTTTCGGCGGTGACGGAGGCTCCAGCTTCCGAAGTTGGGGCGTCGGCATGGTTGCCGCAATCCGATATGCTTTTTGAGAGCCAAGCTCCGCCAGGACCGACACCGACAGTCCCCACGCCAGCGCGCTCTCGTGTGCTCCGACAGCTTCGCGGTGTACGTGCTTGCCTAGCCGATCCCCCGGCCTGCATAAGCCGACATTTGGAGGAGTTCTCAGAGACATATGGTTGCATCAAAGGCTCTATCCAGGCTCAGGACATAGATAAGTTCTTCGAGGTTTCGGAGGTTCTTGGGGAGATAGATCTGGGCTGCAGCATCTTAGATAAGATCTCCGAGGGCCTAGGGGAGTACTCTTTGAAGGCTAAGTCGGAGGCTCAGAAGTCTTGGAAGGCCTGGTTATGTGACGGGGTCGATAAGGGGGCGGGGAGAGCTCATGCTTGGACGCGTCTCCCCAAAGCATGGCAACCCACCGCCACCCTCTCGGCCCAAGGGGCTGTGCTGGCGTACCCCAAATCGTTGTTGGCCTCTGAGGCACATAAGTTTGGAAAGTTGTGGCAGGCCTCCAAGACGCCAGAGTTGCCCGAACAAGTAGAGTACATTCAGCCCCTCGCCTTTGTGCCGCCACCAGAGATGAGGGCAGTTTCGCATCGGTATAAGCTCACGTCCGCGACCTCCGTGGACGGCTTCCACATGCGCCACTTCAGCAGCATTTCAGATCAAGGTTTGCTGGCATTGATGTCTCTATATTCCGTCATGGAGGCGACCTCCATCTTGCCGAATCAGGTCCGCACTATTGTGGTCCCGCTTCTAGCGAAGCCTGCAGGAGGTTAGAGACCCATTGGGTTGTTCAGCAGTTTTTATCGTTTTTGGGGCAAGCTTCGGAGACCCATTGCGGCGTCTTGGGAGGCTTCCAATTGGCGCCCTTACTTGGCGGCGAGGCCCTTCTCGGGAGCTTCGGACGTGGTCTGGAGGCAAGCGGTGAGGTCGGAAAAAGCGGTACGTCCTGGGCCCCATAAGCAGTCCAGGAGCCTCAAGGGAGCGTCCAAGAAAGAGGGAAAGACGGTGGCATGTACGGTTCTCTGGGACCTCCTGAAGTACTACGAGACTATTGTGATGTCTATCCTGGGAGATAGATGCGAGCTGCTGGCGTTACCGAAGCAGCTGTACCGTGTAAGCACTGCCGCGTACAAGGGTCCACGCTTCTTGGCGATGGCTAGCATGGTGCACGGCCCTCACTTTGCTGCTTCAGGAGTTATCGCAGGCTTTTCATTGGCGACCACTTATATTAGAGCGTATGCCATTCCCACAGTAGACTGCATCTCGTTCCCGCCCCGCACGTCGTTGGATATCTATATCGATGATTATGGTATGTCGTCTACGGGTAAGCCTAAGCAGGTAGCACACGATATTATTCACACGGCGGCACAGTTATACGTTGGACTCACCGAGGAGATGTGCGTACAAGTGGCCCAGGACAAAGCGTCGGTCATCTGTTCATCACACAAGACTGGAGAAGCCATCAGGCAAGCTCTAGGGGAGTACGGTGGAGCCTCGTACGTGGAGTCTGCAGTGAATTTGGGTATCGATGACACGGCAGGGAAGAGCAGGAGGAGAAAGGGAAGAGGGCAGAAGCAGCAGAAGAGAGCAGCTGTTTTCAAGAAGAGAACCAAACGTTTCAAGAGAGTCAAGCAGGTGCTGGGCAAGCACTGCCGAAGTATTTTCACGAGTGGACCTCTAGCAGGCCTGTCCTATGGATCTGAAGTGCACGGCCAGTCTGATCACGAGTTGGCGACTGCTCGGCGTGCTGTGGGCTCTATCTTACGGCCGTCTGCAGGCATGAGGTCCCTCACCTCCCTGTTGTTGTTGCACGGGGATCCAGCGTGGTATGGATCTGTGGCACCAGTGGTGCGCTATGCTAAGGAGGTCTTCTCGAATCAAGTCAGATCCTCGCCTAATACCTTGTCGTTTGGAGTCTTGAGGGAAGCTTGGGGGTCGGCTTACGGGGTCCCTAAAGAAGAGCCCGCCTGGAAGAAGGTCACGGGTCCCCTCTCAGCGCTCCGCCTCAGCCGCCTCAGGATCCAATGGGACATGAAGAGTTTCTGCGTCATGGTCAACGATTTCGGAGAAGACATTATTTTAACGTCATGTTCACCAGCGCTAATGAAACAGATGTTGCACGATGGAGTTTTGAGACAGCTTGAAAGGGAGGCAGGTCGAGTTCACAAAGTACCCTGTCGAGTATGTTATGATGTGGTGTCGTCTCAGCTTCGTTCGTCACGGTATACATACTACGAGAAGGGTTGTATCAAGTCGCTGGTGTGCGGGGCGGTGTGGACCAACGAGCGTGCGCTCGACTTGGGGTACGCTCTGCCATCTGCTCAGTGTCCTTTAGGCTGCGGAGAGCGTGACACGATCTTCCACCGTCTGTGGGAGTGCAGTGCGGTCGACGATGATAGGAGGGACTTGATCAACGATGACGATTTGATCACCCATGCTAGAAGTATCGATCGATCGGACGCTAAGGAAATTCTGCTTTTCTCTAAGGGGCTGTTTGGACACCCTGGAGACGTGCTACCACGCCCACGACAGCAAGGAGGCATTATCACTCACACGCCCGAAGGAACGGAGGACGTCGTAGATCCTGGCCAGGTCAGGGGATATATCTTCATGGACGGGTCCTGTACCAGACACCCTATCAAGGAGCTGAGCAGGGCCACTTGGGGCTATGTACAGTTCACCCAGGACGCTCGGGAGACCTGCTCGGTGTGTGGGCCTATTTGGGCTCCGCTTCCCCAGTCCCCCCAAGCTGGAGAGTTTGCGGCCCTCGCCATGGTTTCACAGAACCTAGGAGGCCCCTCGGAAGGTTTCTCGGATTGCGCGAATGTGGTTAGCACATTCGCGCTTCCTCCTAAGGCCAGGTTCTCTTATAAGAAAATGTATTCGGGCACCATGTTATTTGCCCAATCGTGCCACCTGTCTGTTGTTAGGAAAGTAAAAGCACATGTGGCTGACAGTCCTGATTTAACTGCCCAGCAGCGCTGGGAGAAATTCGGGAATGACGCAGCAGATCGTGCCGCACGTCAAGGATTGCTCGCTCACCCCACAGGCTCCAAGGCTGAGCTTGATGAAGTTGACCAGAAAGTCAAGATTTCTCGTGCGGTTTGTAGGCTGGCGGCCCGTTTGCTGCCCAAGTGGCCCGCCCTAGATCTCACGGGTGTCCACTTGAACCCCAGAGAGCCCCGCCATAAGCCCGAGGGCCCCGAGACTTTTGAGCACGAATGGGAATGGCAGAAGTCTTACTGGAGGTGTGCAGTATGCCTCAGGACACGTAGGCCCAGCCCTGTTTTCGTTTTCGGAGAAAGCGATGCGCCGTCAACTGGAGGTTGCACGGGGAAGGTGCCTGAGCCGTTGCTACAGGTGGCCGCCAGAGGCCACATGGTGTTCAGTTTCGATTGCAGCGATCGATCTCTGTGTTAGGTGCAAAGCTATATCTACGTTGGGCCCCCTAGCGCTGCTCGCTAAGGTTTGCAGGGCCCCATCGAGGAACAATCTAGAGCGTTGGAAGTATCGAGTGCTCAAGGGACGCCATCCCAAGATCGACGGAGTCGTGATTGAGGCGTCTCCAGAGGACTTGCAGGCGGTGGGCGAAGAAGTCCATCAGACAAGGCATTTTGCCGAGCAGGCTCCTGTTGTGGAGCCCCCTCGTGAGTGTGCCCAGCAGAGAAATCAAGTCGTCGACCTGTCGTCGTCGTCTGGTACTATCAGAGCTGCGGGCCACCTCGAGGGACCTTTTCTTTTTGCCCCACAAGATGGGCCTGGTGCAGTGCAGGACGCCATTCCCCACGAAGAGGGTGAGGCGTCCGAGCGAGAGCAGTCGAGGCGCGTGTGCACGCTTGGTCACCAAGAGGAGGACGCGGCTCCCTTGCAAGCTGCTCGTGTAAGCACCGCGGAGTCTGGTGACTCCGAATGACCTCTGGCGCCTTCTGTGTCCGCGCGGCCCGTCCCGCGCAGTCACCGCCAAAGGTTGTTTTACTGGCACCAACGTTGTGTCAGTCATGGCCGTGTCAAAAAAAAATCCTGCTCCTCCTCCTCCTCCTCCTCCTCCTCCTCCCTCCTCCTCTTCCTCCTCCTCCTCCTCCTCTTCCTCCTCCTCCTCCTCCTCCTCCTCCTCCTCCTCCTCCTCCTCCTCCCCCTCCTCCTCCGCCAGCTGCCGCCCCGGACCGAGGTGTTTGGAACTGCTCCAGGAGCAGCGCACCTCGCGCGGGGCTGGCTGCCATGCGTGCCGGCCGCCTCGACTCGCCCCTGGCGCGGCTGCCAGGCGAGCTGCGGGCCAGCCGCGTGCCTACGAGATGTTCCGGACGGCGCCGTCGCAGCTGCCGTCTGAGGCCGGAGCTCCGCGCCGCGGCGCGGAGGCTCGGCTATGCCGCACGTGTACACCGTCCGCCTCGTATGGCCGACGTTTCGGTTCTTGCGGATGCCGCTGCTGCCAAGTGGCTTGCTGGTCGACAAGAAGATCATCGAGAGGCCGAGCCAGCGCCGGTGCTGGAGGCGCACGTGAAGCGAGAGCCCGTGCACAGCGACGTCGTCGACAACGCCAGCCCCGACTCCGAGTCCACCGCGGACGTCGTGGTCTCGCCGATCTAGCAGGCTGCTGTGGCCCCGCCTGGTGCTGGAGGCCCGCTGGCAGCGCCACCCGTTGCACCGCCACTGCCAGCGCCGCTAGCTGGCGCTCTTGCGGCGTATCTGGGCCCCTGCGGGCACCTGGTCGGCCGCGTGCACGCGCCGCCTGTCGCTCCGCCCGCTGCGGCGCCGGCTGAGCCCCGCGCGCCCCCGCCGCCGCCGCTTTCTGACGTTCGGCTCGGAGTCCTCGGCTCTCGGAGTGTCGCCATGGGATGCGTTTCGCAGCCTACGGATGGAGGCGAGCTCACCGAGGCGCCTCCGGAGCTGCCCCACAGCGACAACATCGAGGCGCCGTCCGAGCTGCTCCACGACGCGTTCGCGGAGGCGCACGCCGTCCCGTTGGCCCGCGCGGCGGAGGTGGCGGGGCAGCCTGCGGGCCTCGAGTCCGGTCGTCGAACTGCTCCGGAGCTGCCTGAGGTTGCCGCCGGAGCCGCAGCCGCGGCGACTGCCGCCGCCAGCAGCAGGGCACCTGCTGGCCGCAGGCCTGCGAGAGCCGCGCTTGCCGCAGAGGTGCATGCCGAGCAGCTACAGAGGGAGGCCTCGGTGGCATTCCGGCCCTCTAGCAGGCCGCCGTTTCGCAAATATGTCGTGGAATTGGGCATGAGTTTGCAGTGGAAATGGCTTCGCGTACAGCGCGTCCCAGCGCATGTGCTTCCTGATCTTAGCCGCGAGCCCATACACAGCCGAGTTAGCGAAGAGATCTTTCTGATGCGCGTGCGTAGGTGGGTGAGTCCAGGATGTCTTCCTGCACCTCCTCCTCTTCCTCGGCCGGCCACGAGGCTGTCCCTTTCAACAGACGACATCGATGCTTGTATCGCTGAACGTATAGTAGCTGGCACCAGACTGCAGTGGTAGCCGCTCGGCACGCGGTGGAACGTCTTTGTATGTCAGCGCCTTCGGCGTTTTCTGACGCCGGTAATGGAGGAGTTTGAGGGGTGGATCGCAGGATTGGGAGGTGCAGGAGAGGAACAGCAGCTGCCGCAGCATGCGTCGCATCCCCTCCCCCCCTTGGTTAGCGCGAAGGTAATCGCCTCCGCTTGCCTCCGCCGTCGTCGTTCGTCCGTATCGCGAGGGTGCGAAACTTTCCTTGCCCCGCTCAGTTCGAGATGTCACGACATCACGAGAGCAGGAGAGTTTCGGTCTGTGTCCCAGCCTTCTCCCAAGGTCTATTCCGTGTCACGAGAGCAGGAGGATTTCGGTCTGTGTCCCAGCCCTTTTTCTCCCTCACTCATATAATTTTCCCTCCCTCCGCCTCTCCTCCACAATGCCCGTGTAGGGCACGGCACGCGAGCAGAGTACGTCTTGATCCGTCCGTCGCCACCTACTGTGGGGGATGGGGGTTTCATGAGAGAAGAGAGGAAAACGAACTGTTGTTGTGCGTCCCTTGTGCGGCAACGCCTTATACGAACTTAGTCGGGTCGGAGTGGTCAGGCAGCCTACGCGCGGTTCTCCCCCTCGGTCTGCCCTCCTACCGAGCTTGAAGTTTTGGATCTGCGTCCCAGTCTTGCTCTCTCCTCTCGGATCTTACCTTACCTCCCCTCGGTCTTGCCCCTTATCCTTCCCTTCCGGTGCAGAATGAGAGCTACGTCGAGCTGGCCATTCGTCTTGCCAGCCCCGTGCTGTTCCGTCCAATCTGGGGGTATGTGGGGTCAGGACGGGGGAAGGGAGATTCACCAAACCTTGGCGCCCGTGTTGCATATACGCACTGTTGCATCGTTCCCAGTTGCCACAGCCAGCGTCTGCATTTAGTTGAGTGCCGCACCTTCGTGTCACCCCCAGTGGTTAATCACGCTCGTAATCAACAAATCATTCTCCGCCCTCCTCCTGCTCCTCCACCTCCTCCTCCTCCTCCTCCTCCTCGCCCCCCCCTCTTCATCCTCCCACTCCTCCTCCTCCTCCTCCTCCTCCTCCGCCTCCTCCTCTTCCTCCTCTCCATCCTCCTCCTCCTCCTCCTCCTCCTTCTCCTCTTCCTCCTCCTCCGCCTCCTCCTCCTCCTCCTCCTCTCTCCTCCTCCTCCTCCTCCTCCTCCTGCTCCTCCTCCTCCTTCTCCTCCTCCTCCTCCTCCTCTCTCCGCCTCGCCTCCGCTTTCCGCCTCCGCATCAGGCTCTCCTCCTCCTCCTCCTCCTCCTCCTCCTCCTTTCTCCTCCTCCTCCTCCTCCTCCTCCTCCTCCTCCTCCTCCTACTCCTTCTCCACCTCGCGCTCAAGGACCTGACAGCTCTCGGAGCGGTGCCAGGTCCTGGAGGCGCTGCGGGTGGAGCTCTGGGAGAGCTAAAGGCCTCGGCGAGGCGCATCGCGGGATGCGAGGGATCAAACTCCATTAGGTATTTGATCCACCTGATCCACCTCCTCCTTCTCCTCCTCCCTTCTCCTCCTCTCCTCCTCCTCCTCCTCCTCCTCTGTTTCCTCTCTCCCCTTCTCCGCCCCCCCTCCCCTTCGCTCTCCTCGCCTCTCCGCAGCCCTCTCGTCCCACCGCCGTGCCCTGAGGCCCCACGGAGGAATGAGCCAGGCGCTCTGGGGGCCACGGTCGCGGGTGAAGGCCGTGCGTCCCCCCTCCCCCCAGGGCTCACCGTTTCCCTCTCGGGAGCCTGGGCGCTGGTTGCGCACGCGCTGCCCCTCGGCCGCTCTGCGCTCGGTGCCTCGGGGTCCGCTCGGTGGGCGCCATTTGCGCACTCTTCGGGGCGCTGCGGCCACGCGCGCAGCGCCGCGGCGCAGTGCAGGTCGAGTCGCCAACCGCACACACGCACAAATCGAGGATCGAGGATCGAGGATCGAGGATCGGCCAGGCCCATCCTGAGCCCAGGATCGAGGTATACGCTTTGCTGGGCAGGCCAGGAAGGCGGATGCACCGATCCTGAGCCCAGGACGGGCTTGGCCAGGATCGGTGTGTGTGTGTGTGTGTGTGTGTGTGTTTGTGTGTGTGTGTGTGCATAGTTGGCGCCCTCCTATCCGTGGCCGCCGCCGGTCTGGGCTGCTCCCCGCTGCTGCTCCGCGCGCCCTTCCCATCCGCTTTCCCGCGGCCGTGCCCGCCACGCGCCAGTCACGCTCGCTCCAGGACAGGCGGCTTCACCTGCTGCCTCTCGGTCGTTCCCCTCAGCTCTCCTGCTCCTTCCCCAAGCCGGAGAAACGTAAGACTCGAGTGCGCCGGAACTCGGGTTTGCCGCCGCTTTTTGACGAGCGCGTCCTGGATTTTGACGGTCCAGTTTTCGTGAGATTTCTGCAGCGAGGGCACGCGTCAAATCTCAGACGGGGTCTCGTAATTTTTGTGATGGCCCCGTCAGGCTAACCCGACTCCCCCGAACCCGAGTCTTACGCCTCCCCGAGACAGGCGCACTCGTCTGCTGCCTCTCGGTCACTCCCCTCAGCTCTCCTCCTCCTTCCCCGACGTTGCGCTGGAAAAAGTACCCCAGATGTTCCTGATAGCAGCAGAGCGCAGCCCAGTGCACCCTGGTGCACTTGTTGCCCGGGTTCGTGGCCGTCTAGACCAACCATGCAGCCCCTCCTCCTCCTCCTCCTCCTTCTCCTCCCGACTGCGGGCTCTTCTGTCGCGCAGTGTCCAGGCAGGCTCTCCGAATTTGCAGCGCTTCTTCTGCTGGTGGGCCCCTCTCGCGGTTCACCCTTTTCCGTGCATTCGGCGGCTTGGTAGCTGCAGGCGTGGCGTTGGTCAGCTGCCCTTGCTGCTTGTGCTCTCCCATCCTCCCGTTAGCCCCCTCATTCGCCACCGCTCGCGCTTTCTTGCTGCTGCTCCTCTTGTTCAGGGCCGTTTCCTTCTCCACCTCCTCCCCCCCGTCCCCCTTCCCCTCTCCCCCGCCCACCCCCCTCTCCCTCCCCTCCCCCTCTTTTGGAGGAGGAGGAGTAAGGAGGGAGGATGAAGATGAGGATGAGGATGAGGATGAGGATGATGATGATGATGATGAGGAGGAGGAGGAGCTTGAGGACGGATGCTGATGATGATGCTGATGATGATGGTGATGATGACGATGCTGATGATGACGATGCTGCTGATGATGAGGATGATGCTGATGATGTTGCTGCTGATGATGATGATGATGATGATGATGATGATGATGATGATGATGATGCTGGCTATGATGATGGTAATGGTGATGAGGAGGAGAAGGAGGATGATGATGCTGATGATTACGATGATGATGCTGCTGCTGATGATGATGATTCTGATGCTGCTGCTGATTATGATGATGGTGGTGACGATGATGATGCTGATGGTGGTGATCATGATGAGGATGATGATGTTGCTGCTGCTGATGATGATGATGATGATGATGATGATGAGGAAAGGGATGATGCTGATGATGATGAGGATTGTGATGATGCTGATGATGCTGATGCTGCTGCTGATGATGCTGCTGATGATGATCATGATGCTGCTGATGACGACGATGCTGATCATGATGATGATGCTGATGATGCTGATGATGATGCTGGTGATCATGATGATGCTGATGACGATGATGATGACGATGATGATGATGCTGACGATGATGACGATGATGACGCTGACGATGATGCTGTTGATGATGACGATGACGATGCTGATGATGATGATGATGATGCTGATGATGATGATGATGATGATGATGATTGTGATGATGCTGCTGCTGATGATGATGATGCTGATGATGACGATGCTGATGATGCTGATGATGCTTTTGATGATGATGATGATGATGATGATGATGATGATGATAATGTAGATGATAATGATGATGATGATGATGATGATGATGATGATGATGATGATGATGACGATGAGGATGATGAGGAGGAGAAGGTGAAGGAGGAGAAATAGTAGGAATAAGAGCAGTACGATGATGATGATGATGATGATGATGATGATGATGATGATGATGATGATGCTTATGATGAATGATAATGATGATGATGCTGATGATGATGATGCTGGTGATGATGGTGATGATGATGATGATGATGATGATGATGATGATGATGATGATGATGCCCGAGGATGATGATGAGGAGAGGAGGTGAAGGAGGAGAAATAATTGGAAGAAGAGCAGTACGATGATCATGATGATCATGATGATGATGATGATGATGATGATATGATGATGAGAGATGATGATGATGATGATGATGATGATGATGATGATGATGAGAGGAGGAGGAGGAGGAGGAAGGAGGAGGAGGAGGAGGAGGAGAGGAGGAGGAGGAGGAGGAGGAGGAGGAGGAGGAGGAGGAGAGGAGGGGAGGAGGAGGAAGGGAGGATGAGGAGAGGAGGAGGAGGCGGAGGAGGAGGATGAGGAGGAGGAGGAGGAGCGGAGAGGAGGAGGCGAGGAGGAGGAGGAGGAGGGGGACGAGGAGGAGAGGAGGAGGAGGAGGAGGAGGACGTTGAGGAAGGGGGAGGGAAGAAAAAATAAAAGAGAGGAGGAGGAGGAGGAGGAGGAGGAGGAGGCGGACAAGCTAGGTGCGCTCGCGTCATATCTGACATCCTACCCCTCCCTCCCATCCCTTACCATGGCGCAGATCCCCTCTCTACTCGGTCAGTCGGATGTCGAGCAGGGCAATGATCCCGAAATGGTACGCGATGCATTGTAGAACACGGCATGGCATGGCGTAGAAGAGCACCGCACAGCGTAGGATCAACCTAGCATTGCATTGCATGCCGTGGCATGGCACGGGAAATGACGCCAGCGCTGCAGCGGGAGCACCAGTCGAAACGAGCGGAAGCGCGGAAATGAGGCCAGCGCTGCAGCGGGAGCACGATTCGGAACGAGCGGAAACACGAAAATGAGGCCAGCGCTGCAGCGGGAGCACGATTCGGAACGAGCGGGGCCCGAAAATGAGGCCGGCGCCTCAGCGAGAGCAGCATTTTGAAAACATGCCGGCGAAAACCCAACTCCGGGGAAACTTGTGTGTAAAAAACAGTACGCGAGGGGGGGGTCGGCCACTTTCAAACCG